CTATAGAAGTTATAATTTCATTGTACAGGTCACTGGTTAGAGCACATTTGGAGTATTGTATTCAGTCTTAGGCTCCTTACCTTATGAAAGACATTGAATTAAAGGGTTCAGGGAAGGGTCACTAGAATGGTGCCTGGGATAGAGGGAGTGTCATATGAGGAGAGGCTGAAATCTCTGAAATTGTTTACTCTTGAAAAAGAAGAGTTAGGGGGGATCTGATTGAGGTGTTTAAGATTGTAAAGGGAATTGATAGTGTTGATGCATCATCTTTTTTCATATTTAACAGTGAGAATAGTAGGACTAGGGGACACCTAAAGTCCTGAGCATTATTTTGGCTAAAACTTAACACGAAACAAACAAATAAACAAAAATTCAAAGAGGATGACGTTAAAGTGCTCACTTCTCTACAAACCATACTGACAACAACATCTCCCATAGATGTTAGTGGAACTCACTTGCATTTTATTTGCAAAACATACCATGTCTGCAAACAAGGACTGGAAGCTCAGCCGATTGTATTCAACAAAATGAGAGAGAGAGAGGAAGTAAGCTAATAAACTAAGGAACACATCTAACATTTTTCAAGAAGCAAAATCTGATCAACAACTTAACAAGTATAGCCTCTTTCAAATTCTCTTAACAATACCCATGACTTCAGCATTTTGTGAATGAAACTTTTCCTGTCTTTTAACCTAAAAACTGCTTGTTTGTTGAATTTCATAGAAAGCTATTTAAAGGCTATCTACAGCTGCCATTCTTAATTTTCAAGCAATAAGACTATAGGGATGGCAAATAGTAAACACCACCCACTTCCAACTCTTGGATTACTCTAATCAAATAGTAGGATTTGACTCTCACCTTATAACAATCCATGGTCTCAAAATGTAGAACACAATTTTACGGTAACAGTGTGCAAAACCATGAAACATCAGATTGACATTCTAGTATGCTAACCATTGGGCCTTGCTTGGCCCACAGCTTACTTGGAAAACACAACAGGGTAGAAAATAATTTCTGGATCAGCCCTGTTGGATATAGAGCAAAACATTCTCATCTGAATAGTCACTGATGACTTTGCATTTTGAGGAGCAACAGTAGACAACATCTTTTTCTTCATTAGGTATGACTATTCATACATAGTTAAAAATGTAATTCCAGATTTGTTTAGGTGTTTTCAAGTACAGAGAATTTAAGGTCCCACCAATGCTTACTTGCACTTATATCTTTATGAATACCTATACTATCTTATAAAACCAAACCATAACTTGTATCATAAAGTTTACAAACTAAGAAATTTTACATATCAGTACTGTATACATTATTCCACTTTGTTTTCATCACAAAAGTAACAAATATGCTTTATCCTACAGTTTATCACACAGAGAATATTGAGTAAAAGCATCTAAGCCATGAATTAGAATAAGCATTCCCAAATCAATGTAATTAAAGTAATTTAAAATGTAGTACAATCAAATAAAATGGAGATCCATACTAATGTACTTCACATATATATTGAGGTTTATTTGAACCAAAAACTTTCCAGTATTTTGCAGTAATAAAAAGTATATATACATACACACACATGTGAAATAAAATAATATTGAAATCTTTTTTTAGATGATTTTACTTGCTCATAAGTAGGTTTCACATTTAAAAAAACAATACATTGTAACAAGACTCATCTAGATAATCCATGAAGCTTACTTCTCATCCTAATTAATACATTTTTATGGAGAAAGACTTTTCTTAGAACTGAAAACAAACATGCAGTTGTAAAGTAATTCTTGAATTATTCCTCCTTTTTTTCTTGATAAGCATATATATAACGATAGTATTTTCTTATTGTACTACAAAGCTTGATGTATTATCCCTTGAATATACATCTTTCTTTGTAGTTAAGCTTCTTCAATTGTCTAAACTTTGAACATCAGTTGTTCTTATAGAGAGAGTTGAGGCACAGCCTTGTCTTACATGAATAGTTTTCGAAGTCCCTCGTAACCATGTACATACAAACCATACAAAGTTAAGTCTTTTAAATGTTATTAGAACTAAACAACTATGAAGTGGGGGAGTCTGTTTGACATACAGAATCAATAAAATCATCAAAATCATGCAGACTTGTCTCCAAGGCAGCAAGCTGATGACTGATTTCACTCATCTGCTCTTCCAGTGTAGGTTGTTGGGAAAATGATGCAAGTGGTGGAGCTGTACGACACTCTCGAAAAAATGCTCCAAGGTCTCTATTTCCTTCATTTGCAGCAAATGGAGGTTTCTGAAATTATTTCCAAGTTTCTCATTAAGCTTTCTTTTACACCCACATAAACCTTCTCAGTTATCTCATATTTAGATTACTGAGACAATTAAAACAGGTAGAATTCAGATATTTATGACTCTTTAAAATACAAGATAAATTTAAGAAATATCCTTCCAATTTACACACTACCATAAAGAATAATAATAAAAAAAAGGTTTCCAAATCCTCACTCCGATCATATGTATATAACATAATGTTTTGGAACAACATGGGACCTATTGGTCCATCTTGAGTGTTCCATCCTCTAAACTAAATTAAAATAATTTAAAAAAAATCTTAAAGCCAGCCTTTATCATTCATAAACTTATCAAGCTTTCTTTTAAACTCACTTAAATTTTCTGCCTCTACAACATCTGAAGGCAAACCATTCCAAAGGCCATCCACCCTGTTAGAAAAATAAAACTGTCTTAGCTGAAGATGACTCCTACCTTGCCAAAATTTGTATTTCTCGACTCAACAATACATCTCTCTCTGTCCGCTGTTCAATTACACACATTGTTGCCGTCACTTTTTGGCGGCTTACATATACAAGACTACCGCATATCTAGTAACTTCTCGAGACTTCAGGAAGGGACGTGAACGTTCGAGAATATGACGTGTTACGAGCGTCACGTGACCCCCGCTGTCGTAACAATATTAAACAGCAGAGTAAACAGCAACGAGACCTAAAACCAGTGTCAGTTATATAAAATTGGACAACACTGTTTAAAAAAGTAAATGATGCAGTAAAATTTAAAACTAACTAGAAATATCAATAATATTTTATGATAAAACAAGGTATC